AGGGGGAGGGAGGTGGGGGGCTGGGAGGAGGCGGATTTTTTTTTCTTTCTTTCAATAAAAAAAAAAGTTCCTTTGGGGGGAAAAAAGACAAGACCTCCTGAGTAAATTGGGAGCATGGGACCATGGGCAGAGGGTTGAAGGAGAGGGGAGAGGAAGGGAGGGGAGCAGAAATAAATATATAGCTCAGTAAATAAATAAATAACTATCAGTAGTTATTTATAATCCATGCATTATACTTAGGTTTTAAACATGCTCAGCCTTAATGCAGGGGTAAGGGGCTTGGTCCCACCCCAACTTAATGTGCCAGACTTTGCTGACTTCCCATGGGAGCCCTTACCCGATTGGGAGGATTGAATGGGGCATAGCTGGCGGGGAGGCAGGGGCACAGGAGGTGGGGTGGGGGGAAGAATTGCAAATGAAATGTAAAATGAAATTTAAAAAATAAAATAGAAAACATTCATACATATCCCTCTGTGGACTAATGTTTTCACTTACTCTCAACAAAATCTGAGGATGATAATGCCAGATCATAACTATGGTATATGCAGAACTACTGAAATTCTTAGTTGGTTGTGCCATTTTACACTTTCTCAGTTGGTTTGTTAGGCTTAAAATTACAGGCATTGGTGCTGATACACTTTCAGTGCAGGAGCCCAAGGCAATGTCCCCAGTTAGTCTCTAAATGCGATTTTTAAAAGAGCACATGAACTGGGAGGGAATTGGTATAGCTACATGGGGAAGAACTATACAGAAAGAAGTGGGGTGTGATTTGATCAAAATACATTATATGGATGTATGAAATTCTCAAACAAAAAGTAATTTTAAATAAATTGTAATTCACCATGACACGAAGCATCTTAATCTTTTGTTTTGAAATTGTTAGTATCATTTTTCCTTACAATAAAATAGTAAGAGGGAAATCCAACCACTAAAACATATAGGTGTATTATATACAAATTCACACAAAACAAACATTTGTGTGTTTATTCATGTAGATGTAGACACATGTATTCATTAATTTAATCAATAAACTGAAAACATAAACTTTCTACATTACTCTTAGATATTATATCTTTATCAAGTCTCTCTTTTTTCAAAATTATAAAATACATTTGAATATAAATAAGATGTACAAATAAAATAAATAAAATGTATAAATAAAAATGTACAAACATACACATATGCACATATATAGTAGGTACTGAGATGTCATGAGACTGAATTTTTAAAAATGTAAATAAAAGAAAAGACAAATATTTTTCTCTCTCAGATTGTTTTTAGAATCTACACCTGGGAAAGGATATGCAATTTCGGTATAATTTTCCCCTAGTTTCACTCGTGCTTGAAGATGAAATAAATGTTAAAATTATCTCAAAAATCCCAAGGGACCTTATCTCTCCAGATATCTCCAGAATCTCTTCTGAGATTCTGAACTACAAAGACCCAATCAAATGCTTACTTTCCATACTGAAGAGCGCTCAAAATGATACAGCAGCGCTGGGTAGGGGGAGAACCATTTATGTGCAAACTCTCAGGCATGTACACTGCTCTGGTCTTTCCTAGCACTGAGGTAAGTCTGAGTGACTTCCAATGACTCTTACTCTCAGAAAATGAAAAACTTCAAGTTCAAAAAAATCCAAGAGATGCAGACAACAAAAGTTCTACCAACTCCTAGAGTACATATCCATTCATCTAGGAAAGAAGGGAATAAAGGCTCCCAAAACTGGGAAGCAATAGGAAACTTGACTTCACAATTCACTAGAATCAGTGACATTTGGGCAGTCATGGGCTGCAGCTGGAAGGAAATTTATTTTCTGTACCCTAACTAGTAAATAGTTATGCTCAGATTTGCTTCCAGCAGAAACAACCCTTGTAGGAGAAGAGGGCAGTAATACAAAACAAGCCTTAATGCTAAAAGATACTGAGAGGACTTGGCTGAAGGAGGCTTCTCTGCAGAAATTCTCCTAAGTAAAATCACACACAGGCAAGACTGCAGCTTTCTCAGAGATATTTAATGCATGAAGAGATTCCCCCAGCGAGAGACCAACTCTCCCTGGCTCCTCACATCTGCTCTGTCTCTGCCCTAAGTTACAGCTAAGGGCCAGGTTCCTCCGCCCTGCATTTAAAAATCATGTTCTTATGCTCTCATACTTTACTAAACTTGCTACAACTCAGCTGGTGAAACTGCCCGTCACTTGATCACAGACACAAACACTGAATGTGTGACTGAGAACCCGTGCTTCCATTTGATCATT